GCTTTGTTTTTAAATTTGATTTTTTTTTTGCAGCTGCTGGAAAGAGGTTGCATGAAAAGTTCTCTTCTGGGAGTTATGGAGTAGTTGGGGAGGAAGAACAAAGTCTTCAGCAGCTGAGATTCAAAGCTGCTCCGTTTTCTTTCTCAAGTGTTTCATCAAGAAAAAAGATGGTGAATTAGTTCTTGATTTAATCATCAACTACAGTATTGTGGTTTGAATTATTTCTTAGTAAATTCAGTTGGTATTTTACCTATATTAAGATCTGCATGCGCATCATTTGTTTTATGAGGTTTCTAATCCCAAAGTCTTTTTTGTCAAATCTTTTCAGTAAATTAGCATGTCAAATTTTGTTAATCTTTTTTCAAAAGCATATTCACTAAGTACGCTACCTGTATAATACAAGCTTAGGAAAATATCAGAATTTATGTTTGGGAATGAGCTTCCTACCAAAAGAAGGGTAATTGTCTTATATCTTCTTCTCTTTTTGTGTTTATATTTATTTTTCCTAAGTTGTGTTCTAATATGACAAACAAGAACTACAAAGGCAGCTAAGAATATCCAGCGATCCATTAGCGATTGAAGAATTAATTGGCCGTATATCTTGGATTTGTAGCGTTTTCATTTCGGAAACATGTGACACTTCGTGCATTATTTATATCTGTGTAATTTTATATCCCTTATATATTTATGGTACAAAATATTAATTCACTTACAATTTAATTATATTCATCGTTGTCGTGTCTTTTCAGGGTAAACGGTTAATATTGAACTCCAAAATTATTCGGCAGCCTCCCGCTATTATCACCCACTAGGTGAACAAAAGTACGTCTAATACTCCAAGATTATTCGGCAGCCTGCTGCTATTATCACCCACTAGGTGATCAAAAGTACCTCCAGTACTCCAAAATTATTCGGCAGCCTGCTGCTATTATCACCCACTAGGTGATCAAAAGTACGTCTAATACTCCAAAAATTATTCGGCAGCCTACCGCTATTATCATCAACCAGGTGATCAAAAGTACGCTGCTATTATCACCAACTAGGTGATCAAAAGTAAGTCCAGTACTCCAAAATTATTCAGCAGCCTGCCGCTATTGTCACCCACTAGGTGAACAAAAGTACGTCCAGTACTTCAAGATTATTTGGCAGCCTACCGCTATTATCACCCACTAGGTGATCAAAAGTACGTCCAGTACTCCAAAATTATTCGGCAGTCTGCCGCTATTATCACCCACTAGGTGATCAAAAGTAGATTCAGTACTCCAAAATTATTCGGCAGCATGTTGTTATTATCACCCATGTGATCAAAAGTACGTCCAGTACTCCAAAATTATACATGAGCATCACTCATGTCAATCATACATAAACATTCATGACCATCATTCATGTCAACATTTATGAGCATCATTCATGTCAAGATTCATGAGCATCACTCATGTCAACACCCATGAGCATCACTCATGTCAATCAACATAAAACATTCATGAACATCATTCATGTCAATCAGCTTCGAAAGCTTCATTTACAGAGCTCCAGCTTCGAGAGCTCCATCTTCAAAAGCTTCATTTACAAAGCTCCAACTTCAAAAGCTTCACTTGCAAAGCTTCACCTACAAAGCTTCAGTGCAGGGTATACAAATACCGCCTCCGAACAACCGCCACTTCGGCCTATACATGGATTCAATTTGAAGTCTCCAGCCAACAGACTCTATTGCCGAAGACTTGGGGGACTACATTATGTACCATATATTGGGCCTCAACTGGGCCTCGTGAAAAATACTTGGGGGACTTAGCCCATTATTTATATATTGAAGAGCTAGCCCTTATTCTATAAAATTGACTCCCTCACCTTCATAAGAGAGCATCGCCGTCTGCTGAGCAACCGCCTCGCCGCGAGCATCACTCCTAACCCATCATTCATGTATTGAGCAGCGAGCCCTTATTTTATAAAAGGGACTCCCTCACCATCATTAGAGAGCATCGCCGCTTGCTGAGCAACAAACTTGTCGCGAGCATCACTCCTAACCCATCACTTATGTATTAAGAAGCGAGCCCTTATTCTATAAAAGGGACTCCCCCACCTTCATTAGAGAGCATCGCCACCAGCTGAGTAACCGCCTCGCCGCGAGCATCACTCCTAACCCATCATTCATGTATCGAGGAGCGAGTCCTTATTTTATAAAAGGGACTCCCTCACCATCATTAGAGAGCATCGCCACCAGCTGAACAACCGCCTCACCGCGAGCATCACTCCTAACTTATCACTTATGTATTGAGGAGCGAGCCCTTATTCTATAAAAGGGACTCCCTCACCATCATTAGAGAGCATCGCCGCCTGCTGAGCAACCACCTCGCCGCAAGCATCAACTCTAGCCCATCATTTATGTATTGAGGAGCGAGCCCTTATTCTATAAAAAGGGCTCCCTCACCTTCAACGCCACAAGCCGAGCCAACCAAGGCAACATAAGCCACAAACCGAGCAACCTCGCAACATGTGCTACTTCTAGTTGAGCATCATTTCAGATTGAGCACCGCCTCAAATCGAGCATCAGTTTAAGACAACATCTAGTTACTTCGGCCCATGCATAGACTGAATTTCAAGTCTCCAGCCAAAAGACTTTCTTGACTGAAGACTTGGGGGACTACAGTTTGTACCATACTTAGGGCCTCCGTATTTAGATCTCGTATAAATACTCGGGGGACTCAAAAGTAATTATGTAATAAATGAAGGGGGCAAATATGTAATAAGTGAGGAGCCCTTATTCTATAGAAAGACCCCTCACTCTCCTCATTAAAAGAGGCCAATTCTTAGGCCATGGGAAGCCTCACTCTCACCCTCGGAGGCTCTCACCCTCTCATCCTCTCACAAACAGAGAAATACAATATCAGTGTGGACGTAGCCCAAACATTGGGTGAACCACGATACATCTTCTGTTATTTACTTTCTTGCAGATTCACGGTCGGATTTACGTTGTTCCAAGATCCCTCCGGTTTTGTGCATCAACACGCTTAATCTTCTTTTGGTATTTGTTTGATTTTCTTTTGTTGGCTGTGTTTTGTAGCTCATCAGAAACAATAAGCAAGTGAAAGCTATAACCAAAGGCTTATTTATTTTTTCCAAATGGTTGTCATTTGTTATAGGTAAACAAGACCTACTGTGCTGATTATGCAGTAAGGTTCACTATCAACTCTAGATACGAGCAGCATGGCAAAGTTGAAGTATGCATAAATGGCAAGAGTTTTGGCCTCAACTGGAAGTTGTAACAAGTGTAACTATACTGGGACATGTAATGAGAAGAAATGTTTAAGTAGCCGTGGGGAGGTAATAAACATGTTTACTTCTGATCTATGCTTACTCTAAGGTAATTGACAAACTGGTTAATTACACACAAAGCTAAAAACTTTTGGCCAACTAACCTTATCTTAAAGCTTTAATACGCTACTTTGTTTCCAATCCTGCTTAAAATTGAAGAATGGCTATTCTTGCAAAGTTGTATTGGACAGAACAGCGATTTTTTTTCCTTGATAACATAGTTCACAAGGCTTTTAACCTGTTATTATGATTACTGTTAACAATTATTCTTAAAGAGAGAGAGAGAGAGAGAGAGAGAGAGAGAGAGAGAGAGAGAGACGGATAGACCAACCGGTGCATTTTCAAGGAGTACTAAAACATCATTATTGGAATTAGATAACAATACGTGCTATAATTTTGGTATGGAATAAGTTGACAGTGTGGGGTTCATGGATTTTGGATTCGGCATTCTCTGAAAAAGCCAAAGGAGTGGAAATTTTGATTGGTTTGATTGGTAATTTTGTGTGTTCTTTAAATTCTATAATTATGAGAGAAACAAAGATCATCGTTATCAGCATTCAACATTTATGATGGTGAACTATCTTTGTATGTTTATCAATTTATTTTTTTATGGTTTTCAGTTTCCTAAATAAAGTTTGACATGTATGAAATTTGACAATTTATCTTCCTTTGCATTCTTGCATTTGAATTGCAAGTTAGTTTATGCTAAATACCGTTTAATAATTTAGAGAAAAGGTTTAAACAGCTCAAATTTGATGATTTAGAATTAGCTTATCCATCTTCCATACGATTTCTAATCCCACAGCAATGCGTGGGCAGCAATTTCTAGTTATTATCTATTTTGAGTGGGAGTGATGGAGGGTAGGGAGAAGGGAAGGCGAAAGGGTTAAAATTGGGTTGCTAAATTAGAAAAAGGAAAATAAAATAAAAACTTACACTTATTCATATATTGATTAACTCACTTTGCAGTACACACAGGCTGCGACAGTAGCATGGTAAGAATGAAATGTGTAACTTAATTTCTAAGTTGCAATACCAATTGTTTTGAGCAAATGTCAAATATCTCAGATGATGACAACTGGGTCTCCTACAAATAAAAAACCAAACATTTTAATAAGTTCTCAAAAGATAAAGAATTAATGTCTAATCAAACTTTCAAATTTATGGGACATCAAGCAGAACGAAAGTACACTCTATTTTATATTAACTGTATTTGGAAAATGGACAAGGATTGTCTGCCCTCCCACTTCCGATGCCCTTCTGTTTGTGTGATCACGGTTAAGTTATGTCAACATTTTATATCACTATTCATTTTTCTCTTATTATCTCTATAAAAAAAATAATATAAAATGTTGACGTGATTTAACCGTGACCACACAAAACAGGAGGGCACCAGAAGTGGGAGGGCATACAATCCTTGTCCTTGGAAAATAGGTTGCCACCTAATATTTGCAGTGTTGCTTCGATTTGTCTGTATGTGTAAGGAGTGTTTATGGGTTTAACCAACGGAACTGGATCCCTCCATATCTAAAAAATCTGAGCTCACTAATTAATGCATCCGGAATATTGAAATTTGATCCAACGGTCAAATAGACTCCTTATTTGTAGCCGTTTGATCAAATTTCTATAGTCCGGATGCATTAATTAGTGTGCTCAAATCCCTTTAGATCCGGAGGGGATCCAGTTCCTTAATCAACTAAATGATTCTTGGAAAGATACTTAACCATATCAATGCCAGTTTTAGCTTCACGAATTTTGTGGCGCATAGCATTCAGTAAAGAGCCATATGTCGATCCGCGATCATTTTCCGCTGCTTGGATAAAGCTATAAGTCAAGGCACCCGTTGAAGTGTCTCCAGACAAAACCTGCACAATCTCATGAACTTGTGTTATTTTACATTGCATTTTTTGTTCTTTGAATTTAATTGCGTGGAGTAGAATATCTCTGCTCCTTGATATGGTACTAATACAACTTCAAACAGTTTGTCTTTGTTTAACGCACATCATAGTATAGGGTTTAGGGTTATCAATATGGAGGAGGGAGAGAGTTGAACTTGCAACCTCTTTCAACATTTTGGAAGAAAAAATCATATAATTACTAGCTAGGGTTTATCGCACATCAAGAGTATAGGGTTGATTTCCTCACATATCGATTATACATACTCACAGTGGTGTCTGCAGATTTTTGATGGTCGTCACAAGCGCTTATGAAGACAGCTGGTCCACCACTTGTGCCCTTATAAATAGGCGAGTATTGTTGATCTTCCCACGAATATCCTTCTCTACATTTAAAAAAGACATATATATCATGTTTAAATTCTCAATTAGTTGGGTATAGTTAAGAAAATGTGTTGAGGATAGTAATTAAGACATGTAGCGGGGTTGGTGCTGCAAAACATTACCTGTTGATCCTGCAAACAAATCGTAGGTCAAGAACAGTTCCACTATGGCAGGCATCGACAATGGCATGAAGTTTGGCACCATGGGGCACCGGCCTAACAATGGTGGCGTTAATTTCATCATCAATGATCATCCCCTCGGTCTCAAAATCAACAGGGCACACCGTTTCATCATTGCCGTCAATCTCATCATTCGAAAAGTCATGCTGGGTTGAGCCATGGCCAGAGAAGTGGAACAACAACGAGTCTCCTGATTGGCAGCCCTGCATCAACCACTGTAACGCCATACGCATGTTTTGTTTTGTTGGGATCCTGAAAGGGTCTGTCTCATATTCTACAACACGGCAATATCAAGTCACCTTACATACTTTTGGTGATCATAACATTGAGAAAAATATGTAAGAATAAAAAAAAAAATTGATTCCTCGTTCAAACCTCACGAAACGTGAAAAGAAATAGCTTTCGAGAGAAATATCAGTATGCTTTCCATGATTGATAGTGTGAAATTAATTAAATAAGAATACCTGTGAGCATGAGTATGGAAGCAGTTGGAAATCCCAATCTGTCAACAAGAAAGTATTTCATGCACTGAACATCGTTCACCGTTCCTTGGAGCTTGTAACTTTTCCCATTGTAACTCACTCCACACAGCACCGCGAGCTTTCTTCCATGCGTCGAAGGTGGCATCAAGGGTTTTGGTACTGATGGCCGGGACAGCTGATGATGGTAGTATCTAGGATTAGCAGGGCGGCCCGCATTCGGGGAGGGCATGGTCATCACCCTAGTCATTTGGCTTTTAAGACGGTTGACAGCGTGGTTTATTGAATCATGGCTCGCTCGAATCAGAGGATTGATGGATGTTCGATTGATGCGCGGGACGCCTTGACACGCACCACAACGAATGATTTGTGCTTGTAATGGCACTACAAGTTTCCGTCCACACCCATTGCACCTCTCAATCCGACTTGCCATTTCAAGTTCTAGCTTAGGGAATGAGGGTGCCTTTTTGTGCTTGTCTATACGTACCAACTGGAAAACCCAGAATTAATAGAGCATTAGATGCGGAACAAAAGTTAGTTGCCTTTGGTAGGATTGCTCCAAGATGCTTTAAGTTAATTATAGCTAATATTCGATCACTTTAAGGATTGATGGTGAACCCGGTTCGGTCCGCGCGCTTTTAAATCTTTTTGGTGTAAAGTGTCTTTTGTGTGATATATATGTATGGCTCGAGTTGATCAAGCAACTCGGACCCATGACCAGTAACTCAATATTTGAGCTATAACATATTTAAAATTCGATACAATCTGCATGTGGTGCTTATGAAGCAGATGCAGAGTTGTTTTGATTTTTATGTTTATGATAGTAGATATGGATGTAATCTGGGTGCTAAAAACAGGAGGTTTTCTTGTAAACATGAAATTTTGATTAACAGGAGTGTTTTTATGTTTATGATAGTAGATATAGATATGTTCTTGAAAACTCTCCCAGCAATAAACACCTGAGCAATATCCACATGAGCAATCCTACCTTTATATTCTTTTAATGCATGCATTGATGTATTTACAATAACGGGTAGATGGTTTGGCCTCATTCACATAATGAGCCAGCCATACTTTTGGTATTGAAACTCCCGTTAGAGGAGTCGATCTTACAAATGGAGAAGAAAGAACACTAAACTGTAGTACTATAACCATATTATAAAGTCAAACTCACAAATAAATAAAACTTGCATGTGCATGATTAATTAAAATGGAGTTATTGCGTAATATCTAATATTATAAATTGCTTTTTAGGCACAACTCCAACTAAATGTACCATGAAATCGAGAGTGAGTAGTGAGCACAAAACTCTTTTTTTTTTTTTTTTTTTTCACACACATCAAATAGGCTACGATGGACAGGATTGCAAAACTAATAGTTGTTTTGTCTTAAAATTAGGCATGGGCTTGCCTTGGCTAACAAAGGGAGGCTTCATACTTGATCAACAACTTTTAAAAAACCATTTCAACACTTAAACACGTAGAAGAGGAGAGGGGGCGAGGGTGTAAGTGGGATATTTTGGGCAGTTCAAGGAAGGAGGCTGCAACTGCTTTGGGCCTTTGGCAACAGCTGTCCCTGGTTCCTACTGCTCCATTATTCAATTCCATTTTTTAATTTGTGATACGCTCTTTTTGTTGTGGCTAGGATTAGTCATGTTTACTATTTTGTTTTGATGTTTGGTTTGTTAGAATTTTGGAGTTTCTATGGCAATCAGCTGTCCCCGTTTATGCCACAATTTTTTTTTTTTTTGTAACAACTATAGTATCTACACCAAAAACTTTGGAATCAGAGTCAGGTGATGTAGTTGGAGTTTTGATTAATAGTTGGAGTGCCCCCAACAGCTCCACCCATTGGTGGATTAAACCACTAAGCAGTCTTTCATTTTTTCTTGTCCAGGGCATCTGCCCTCCTAAGCACTCAAAAAATGTAATGGAATTTTGTATGATGTGGAAGGAAGATCAGAAGCTATATATGATTCACAACCTAGCAGCTGCCCTACCACTACGTACAAGTACTGGTCGAGGTCGTTAATTATAAACTAGAAAATGCTAGTGAAACCACATTTTGCAAATTACATCAACTAAACATGGTAAATACCAAATATATAACATTTGAGAATTTCTTATGTATTCATTAATCTCCAAAGTTGAGTACATATAGGAGTTACAATTGCTATTACATATGTACTTCACCAATGTGGGACAATAAACTACTATTTACACTTTAACTAATATATAACTCGCAACTCCCCCTCAAGTTGGTGCAAAGATGTCACAAATGCTCAACTTGTCAAGCGACTTGGAAAACCCACTATTAGACACAACCTTAGTAAGAACATCGGCAAATTGATATTCAAATCCCACAAACGGAAACATAATAATTCCAGCATCCAATTTTTCCTTAATGAAATGTCGATCAATCTCCACATGTTTTGTTCGATCATGTTGCACTGGATTATGAGCAATCTCAATAGCAGCCTTGTTATCACAATGAAGTTTCATAGCACCCTTGGGTTTAAACCCAAAATCTCTCAACAAATTTTTCAACCACAACAACTCACATACACCATGAGACATACCACGAAACTCAGCTTCTGCACTTAACCTAGCCACAACTTTTTGTTTCTTGCTTCTCCAAGTAACTAAATTACCACCCACAAACGTAAAGTATCAAGATGTAGATTGCCTATCAGTGATAGAACCTACCCAATCTGCATCTGTATACCTTTCGACATTCAAATGACCATTCTTGGAGAAAATCAAGCCTCTGCCAGGAGCCATTTTCAAGTACCTCAAAATACGGGTTACTGCATCCATATGATCTTCACTAGGTGAGTGCATAAACTGACTTACCACACTAACTGCATAAGCAATGTCAGGGCGAGTGTGAGACAAATAAATTAATCTCTCCACAAACCTCTGATACTGTTCCTTATGAGTAGGAACTTGATTTGGAAATAAGCCCAGACGATGATTCTGCTCAATCGGAGTATCAACAGGTTTGCAATCTAACATACATGTTTCAACTAACAAATCAACAAATCAAGAATGTACTTCCGTTGAGACAGAAAAATACCATGCTTGGATCGTGCAACCTCGATTCCAAGAAAATACTTCAATTCACCCAATTCTTTCATATCAAATTCAGTAGCTAGGTACTTTTGAAGGCGTTGTATCTCCTTCTGATCATCACCAGTCACTATCATGTCATCAACATAAATAATCAATGCAGTTAGCTTACCATTTTGTCGCTTTAGAAACAAAGTATGATCTAAATGACTCTGGATATACCCAAACTTCTTCATTGAACATGTAAACCTCCCAAACCATGCTCTAGAAGATTGTTTCAAACCATACAAAGCCTTTCGTAACCTGCATACAACACCTTTTCTAGGAGATGTTCCAATACTAGGTGGGAGATCCATATAAACTTCCTCCTTAAGATCACCATGAAGGAAAGCATTCTTAACATCAAACTGCAATAGAGGTCATCCTGATTTGCTGCTAATGACAGAAGAACACGTACAGTATTAAGTTTGGCAACATGAGCAAAAGTCTCCTGATAATCCACCTCATAGGTTTGAGTATAACCCTTAGCAACTATTCTGGCTTTATACCGGTCAATAGAACCGTCTGCTTTGTGCTTAATAGTAAATACCCATCTACATCCAACGATTTTCTTCTCGTTTGGTAAAGGAACCAAATCCCAAGTAGAATTCTTTTCCAAAGCTTCCATCTCAACTTTCATGGCATTAACTCACTTAGGGTCAGACAAAGCATCCTGCAATTTTGTTGGAATTGATACACTAGATAGCTGACAAATGCAAGATGCCTACAGTTTGGACAAATGATGAGTAGACACATAATTGTTTATAGGATATTTGGCTTTGGTATGCATATCAGGCTCATATTGTACTTTAGGTTTTCCACAATTAGCTCGTGGAAGCAACTGATAAGTAGAAGAATCGTCAGAATTTACCTCATGTATGCCACCATCTTGTACTAAATTGTTGATGCACAAAACCGGAGGGGTCTTAGAACAACGTAAATCCGACCATGAATCTGCAAAAAAGTAAAGAGCACAAGATGTATCGTGGTTCACCCCAATGTTTGGGCTACGTCCACACTGATGTTGATATTAGCTCACTCTGAATGGTGAATATACAAGAAGGCTAGAGGCAGTGTGCTCTCTAGCCTATTTTCTCTCTAGCCCATTTTCTGTGGCCTAAGCCTTGCCCTCCATCTTGGCCTCCCCAAATGAGGAGGGTGAGGAGTCCTTTTATAGAATAAGAGCTCATCACTTACTACATATTTGCCCCTTCATTTATTACATAATTACATTTGAGTCCCCCGAGTATTTATACGAGATCTAAATACAGAGGCCCTAAGTATGGTATAAACAGTAGTCCCCTAAGTCTTCAGTCAAGATAGTCTTTTGGCTGGAAACTTGAAATTCAGTCCATGTGTGGGTCGAAGTAACTAGATGTCATCTAGAACTGATACTCGATATGAGGCGGTGCTCAATCTGAAATGATGCTCAACTAGAAGTAGCACATGTTGCAAGGTTGCTCGGCTTATGGCTTATGTTGCCTAGGTTGGCTCGGCTTATGGCGTTGAAGGTGAGGGAGTCCCTTTTATAGAATAAGGGCTCGTTCCTCAATACATAAATGATGGGCTAGAGTTGATGCTCGCGGCGAGGCGGTTGCTCAGCAGGCGACGATGCTCTCTAATGATGGTGAGGGAGTCCCTTTTATAGAATAAAGGCTCGCTCCTCAATACATAAGTGCTGGGTGCTCTATAATGAAAGTGAGGGAGTCCCTTTTATAGAATAAGGGTTCGCTCCTCAGTACATAAATAATGGGCTAAGTCCCAAAAGTATTTTTCATGAGGCCCAGTTTTGGAAGCCCAATATATGGTACATAATGTAGTCCCCCAAGTCTTTAGTCAATAGAGGCTGTTGGCTGGAGACTTCAAATTGAATCCATGTATGGGCTGAAGTGACGGTTGTTCGGAGGCGGTCTTTGTATACCTTGCACTGAAGCTTTGTAGGTGAAGCTTTGCAAGTGAAGCTTTGAAGCTGGAGCTTTTGTAAATGAAGCTTTTGAAGCTGAAGCTCTCGAAGCTGGAGCTCTGTAAATAAAGCTTTTGAAGTTGATTGACATGAGTGATGCTCATGAATGTTTATATGAGTGTTGACATGAGTGATGCTCATGAATGTTGACATGAGTTATGCTCATGAATGTTGACATGAGTTATGCTCATGAATGTTTATGTATGATTGACATGAGTGATGCTCATGTATAATTTTGGAGTACTGGACGTACTTTTGATCACCTAGTGGGTGATAATAGCAACAGGCTGCCGAATAATTTTGGAGTACTGGGCGTACTTTTGATCACCTGGTTGGTGATAATAGCGGCAGGTTACTGAATAATTTTGGAGTACTGGACGTACTTTTGATCACCTGGTTGGTGATAATAGCGGGTGAACTTTAAGGGGAGGGATGGGGGTTGGAGTTTGAAGTTATAGGGCCTAGCTCTTTTGGGCATATGGGCATTCGCCCTCCACATAACAATCCAGCCCATTATTTTCGGCTTGCCGTTTTTTTTTTTTTTTTTTGGCATGTTGCCTTCTTTTTTTATTTATGATTACCCTCTGGTGGGGTTATACAGATGCCTCCGAAGGATAAGAAAAATAAATCACATGATTCAAAAATAAATCTGACCCTCTGCTCAATGGGTCACGCCCATAATTCCCTTTTCTGCATGCCATCACCACCGCAATTATGTCTGCTTCTTTTTATCTTCTTTTGCTTTCTGCTTTTACTTTTTGCTTTTCTTTCTGCTTTTCTCCAGACATCCTTTTTCTTTTTCTTTTTCTTTTGTGGGAGTGGTTGAGCTGTCTGATGGTTTGCAATGATCTCTGAGACTGATCGAGTAGTGGGTTGTATCATGAAAGTTTCATCATTCTCTGGTAGCTAGGGAAGTAATAATGATAAAGCAAAATAATAAAGAAAAAAGAAAAAGGTCTCATCTTTTTCAGATTCTTTTGCAAAGCTTATCGTTCATGGAGGAGGGTCAGAGGCCGGTCTGAACGTCCCAGAGCTTGGTGGTCCGATCAGCGCTGCCAATGATGAGGCGGGAGGAGTCCCGGGAAAAGTCGCAGCACCAAAGGGCTACTTTAGACCTGGTGACCTTTATACTGATCGAGGAAGATGTCTTCAATCTGAAAATGGTAGGTGCGAAAACATTGATCGCAGGACTCCTTGGAGGGGAAGCGGTTCTGGAGGTCCGTGAGGAAAATTCGAGCTTGAGTTTGAGTTTTTGGATCTTCGAGACACTCCAGCACTGATCTCAATGCGGCATATGCAGCATCGCCCGACTACCGACATCACAAGTACCAGAAACCCCATCAACGAGTCCATTGATCCTATCCCTAGTAACACAACCAGCCGTCATAACCTCCTCAGTAACATCTAAATCAATGGCTTCCAACGCCACCAACGCCTTACTCTGTATCTAAATAGGACCTCTGTACTGCCCCTCTCATTTCACAGCACTCAAATCATTCTTAAACACCACTACATCAAATCCAGTGATAAAAACCTCAAGCTAACAGAGCGAACGAGCCAAGAGGAGGAAGAAGGGAAGTGGGTCTGGTTCGCGAGGAGGTGGTGTTGGCGCCAAGGCCAAGCGTGGGCTTCCGGGACACCTATGAGACGCCTTGACTCCAGTGCTTCAGTAGAGCAGGGGCAGTGAAAAGTCGTAATGGGCGGTACTGGATGGTAAATTAGGACTGGCTGAAAGGGCCATTCCATCATTTGATGGGTGCTGAGCTTGAAGGCTTCAGCTTTGGGACTCTGGAGAAATTGGATAGAATGAACTGTTGCTGCTGGAGGTTGCAGTCGAAGCAGAAGACGTGGATACGACTGTCGGAGCTGCCGGCGTCGAAGATCACAGCGTAGGATGTCTTGGAAGGTAGCTTGCGGGGGAGCTGGTTGCTCAAATTACCACGGAGGGGGGCATGACGTAAAAGATCATGGTAAGGAAGAGAAGAGGGATTGAGATGACGAGGATAACGTTCTTGTATCTGCACATTTTGTCGGAGAGAGAGGCGTACTGGGGACTCCCCATTCCAATTTCTCTACCGAGACGCTTGAGCATCTTGTTTTCGGGGTCGGAGAGGGGGTCAGGATCGAAGGGTGGAGAATTGGTCTGGATCAAATTCTGAGCCTCTAGCAGTTCAGCCGAGGAAGGCGATCTGTATCGGATCTGACCGTTAAGATTAAGGGGTTGCTGCTTCCCTTCCCCCAGATTTGAGTACTAGTCCTAGGATTAAATAATCCCAAACTCTCCCAATCTCTCTCTTCTTGTCCAACTCCTCAATTGCTGGTGCATGCTGCCTGCTAGGATCTAAATATAATGTTCAACTCTGAGGAAGACGATTTATAAGGAATCCACAAAGCCAGCCTGCCTGCTTGCCTGCCTTTATCAAAATATGGATATCGTCGGAGAAAGATCACTGCAGTGCGACTACAAGAGCAAAGAGCTAAGTGCAAGAGCAAATGGCTTTTTTTAGGATATTTGCAAACTTTGGTTGAAATTTCTCTCTCTCTTTCTGTTAGATTGAATGGGTGCGTCTTCGAGTGTAGGTGTTCGGTTGTTTCGTTCTTGAGTTTTTGCAGATTCACGGCGGTGAGATGAAAAAAATGAAAGAGAACTGACATAGTTTTTCAGACATAGTTTTTCATGTCGATTCCCACAGACGGCGCCAAATGTTGATGCACAAAACCGGAGGGGTCTTGGAACAACGTAAATCCGACCGTGAATTTGCAAGAAAATAAAGAACACAAGATGTATCATGGTTCACTCCAATGTTTGGGCTACATCCACACTGATGTTGATATTAGCTCACTATGAATGGTGAATATACAACAAGGCTAGAGGCAGTGTGCTTTCTAGCTTCTTATTTTCTCTCTAGCCCATTTTCTGTGGCCTAAGCCTTGCCCTCCATCTTGGCCTCCCCAAATGAGGAGGGTAAGGAGTCCTTTTATAGAATAAGGGCTCCTCACTTATTACATACGGAGGCCCTAAGTATGGTACAAACACAAACTGTTAGAAAAATCATCACTGGACGAACTATCATCAAGCAACTCGTTAGACATATCAGCAACAGGCAACCGATCATCAAAAGGTAATTTCTCAGACATACTAATAGGCAACTCGCTGGGCATATCTAATATATCGTCAGTAGAAATAGTTCTGGGAATGACAGGTGACCGATCACTATATGTGGCCAATTGATCAGTATCACGCAACATAATAGGTTTTGTTTCCAACTCTGCCTGTAACACGTCTTCCATACCATCTCTTCGAATCTGCACTTCACTCCCCCTCTCCCCTTGTAGTGGAGAGTCGGAAGAGGGCTTCACAAAATAGGAAACTTCCTCGTGGAAGGTGACATCCATGGTAATATAAGTTTTTTGAGTCAAAGGATGATAACACTTATAGACTTTTTTATTGTTAGCATACCCAATAAAAACACATTGGAAAGCACATGCATCAAGTTTACTCGGCTGATGAGAGTAAACATGCACATATGCAATATACCCAAACACTTTTGGAGGAAGCTTTGATACAGAAATAAGAGAAACATGTTTTTGTAGCACATCAAGTTGTGTCTGAAAATCAAGAACTCTACTTGGAACACGATTGATCAAATACACAACAGTCAAAACAGCATGACCCCAAAAATGATTAGGAACACATTTATCCAACATCAAGGAGCGAGCAACCTCCATTATTTGACGATTCTTCCATTCGGACACACCATTTTGTTGGGGTGTAAACGGAGTAGTCGTGTGGTGAATAATACCATGATCACGAAAAAACATGCCTAAGTGTGATTCATATATTCTCCTTCGTTATCAGACTTGAAAACCTTAACCTTGGTCTGAAACTGAGTAGACACCATTGTACAAAATTCTTGAATTAACGGAACATCGCTCTTATTTTTCATCAAGAACACCCAAGTTAATCGAGTACAATCATCAATAAAAGTAACAAACCAACAGAATCCATTAGAAGTAACTTTCGTCGGACCCCACACATCAGAATGTATCAAATCAAATGGCAAAGTAGCTTTAGAATTACTTACGGGAAAGGAAGCATGATGACTCTTAGCCATGACACATGTTTCACACTTGAACTATGAATCAATACAAGTGCGAAACAAAGAAGGAAATAGATGCTTCATATAACTGAATGATGGATGTCCCAATTGTCGATGCCACAACCAAATTTGCCACTTTAGCACTTATAACTTGATGATTATTTGAACCGGAAACAAGAGTATCCTCCATAGTCAAGATGTACAAACCCCCTATTCTTTTACCACGACCAATTATCTTTTGAGTTGAATGTCTTGAAAATAACAATACGTAGGGTAGAAGTGAGCATAACAATATAAGGTATCAAGAAGTTTTCCTACCGACAAAAGATTGCACCTAACATCAGGAACAAGTAAAGCACGGACCAGTGATAAGTTTGGAATCAGAGAGATAGTGCCTTCACCCTTCACAGGGGAAGGTGCTCCATTTGCACTAGTAATATACGGATCACGAACATAATCACATAACTTATCAAACACTTTAGGGTCACTAGTCACATGATTAGTGGCCCCAGTATCAATTATCCATTTATTTGTTCCACCAAGATGCATAACAACACTATGATTATATTGAGCAATTGAACACAATCACGAACAATAAAGGCACAAAATATACGCAGCAGAATGAAAACAATTTACCAAAACACTGCAGCAATCATTGTTCATGATACTGTAGCAACAGACTATTCACGGTACTGTAGCAATCACTATTTACGACACTATAGAGGATTACTGTTCACGCACTGTAGCAACGATGTATTGTAGCACGACACTATTCACTTTTTTTTTTCAACGAAGGAAATCACGAAAAATGTGGGTACAAAATTAAAGCACACAGGTCACCAAAAACAAATTGCTCTGATGTCATATTAAACTAAACATGGTAAATACCAAAAATATATATGATAATATTTGGAAATTTCTTATGTATTCATTAATCTCTAAAGTCGAGTATATATAGGAGTTACAATTGGTATTACATATATACTTCACCAATGTGGGACAACAAACTACTATTTACACTTTAACTAATATATAACTCGCAACAAACTCCTCTCTAATAAACGTGGGATCTACTTATATTGTGGACCTAAACTCTATAATAGAGATGATTTAGATATGATTTACAAAATGTGATCCCCCTATCATCACTCCTATACATCATGCATGGTGGTGCAGCAAGAGCTTCCGAGAAGTGTTACACCAGCGAGCATAGGAGCCATGGAGGTTGGGCCAATCAGAGGACAAGCAATGTGTGAAGTGGTGGAGCCACAACGACAGCACTTTCTCTTGATCATCTTCGTCTTCCAGCATCTCGATCGTCTCTTCCAATACTCTCTCCAGCTCAGCCCTTTCTCCGATGCTCAAAACCGGGACGTCGGTTCCGTTGCTGGCTCTGCATAGCAATGGCAACCACGACATTAACATTTGCATCTTTGTTTGCTTGTGTTGCTCTTTCTTGATTTCGTCGTCAGCTTCGTCTTTTCCCAATTGTTTGGCATGCTTGAACAACAATGCTGCACGAACACAACAGTTGATTAATTATCACATGCAAAGCGGAATTAATGTTATATATTTTAAATTGAAATTTCGTGACACGCATATATACATTTATGTGAGAACCAAAGAAAAATGATATGCATATCTTGATACTGTAAGTAGAACATACCATATTTCTAAAAAAATAAATATAGTCTAGTTTTACAACTAACAATACGCTTGATAGTCTAGTTTGCAATGGAGTTCCTTATATAGCTAAGTTTGGCCTTGGTATTAGTGATGGTCTAATTTGGTTTGAGGAAACCTACCGACCATGTACAGAACCTTCTTTTCCAAGACTTTTCTTGTAGATGTTCATTAATAACATCGTTTCTCTATTGGAAAAACAATTACACAGGATAAGAATTTACAAGCTTATAGAATTGTCTTACAACTTTGAATTCAATCGAATGGAAATAATTTGTAGTTTAATTAATTAAAAATAGGCTTATTTTTAGCTACACATTTGAAACTTGATTTTAATCTCATTTTGACCCCCTGTGACTCAAAAGATGTCCCTTTATTCCCTAAAACTCAAAATCTGCTCCACTTTGCCCCTAGAACTCGATTTTGGACTCGATTTTGCTCCATGAAACTCAAAGGTTGTCATTTTACAATATAAAACTCAATTTTCGCTCCACAATGCCTTAATTTTGCCGTTTTGTAGAATGTTGACGCATAGTGGATATTTATAATATTTTCTGTTAATTTCATCATTTTATTCTATAGAACTCGATTTTGATATTTTTTTTTATTGTTCAATATTAACATAGTGGGGATTTATAAACAAATTCATTGGCACATGTGGCTGTTTGGATCAAAACTTGAACTTTGGGCTCAGGAAAGGGGCTGGCCCAAAAGGATGCCTAAAGGAAGAATCGGCCTAAGCCCAGCCAAAGCCCAGAAAACAGAAAAGGGCTTTTCTGACTTGGTGCAGCTCATGAAGACCACTTGCTCACCTACCCAAAGGCCAAGTGGTATAGACTGACCAGCTATACAGCCCATAAAGTACTTTATAATGGCAGAACAAGTAAAAAAGCTGATGAGTCACTGCCTCTCAAGTTGCATTCGGGCAAGGCTGCTGCTACAAGAGGCCAAGCTGAGTTGTCTATAAAAGAAGAAAGAGAAATCAGGATTAAGGACACTCAAACAAACAAACAAATGCAAGCACAAACTCTGCTCAAAGCCAGATTTGCCTTTAAAACGAAGTTGTAGTCAGCCCAAGCCTTCATCCCTCTCGGGACAAGCCTTTACTCAAACCCTTGTAATAGCTCTGTTATCCTGTTCAACCTTGCTGTAGTATCGATTTCTCTTTGCAAACTCCTCTCCTTACCTCTCCCTAAAAGCTCTCAGACCCTTGATAAGCCACAAAGATAGGAACCTGCAAGACGACCAGGCTTGCCCGATAAGGTTAAACCTTGCCCGACCTTCTTTGTTTTTGTCTTTTCATTCATTAGCCTAGCAAGATGTTGTATACTTCCAGTTGTATTCAAGTTATTTCTAGTAAGATGACTATTAAAAGAATCTCTTAGTACTTGGATCCGATTTGAATATATCTTCATTGTTCAAACCAGATCTAAGTTCTAAGACCTCGGGCATGTAAATTTGATCAGTTGAAAGTCCTTGGCCTCAAGGCATAAAAAAGAACCTTATGTGGACTTAACCCATCCACGATAGTCCTTGATAAACAAGAAGTCTGAAGTTACTTGGGGCGCAAGTAATCGACCTACCCCTTAGTTTTATTTCTATTATATTATGATTATCATAGAACGCTTAAGCATGGAATGGATTCTGGTAGGAAGCCTCAAGGCCTACACCTAAGGCCCCACAAAGGCACCTATTTGGATTCATTCCATTCCGCGGTCTAGAACGTTTGAGTATAAGAACGAATTCTGATGGGAAGCCTCAAGGCCTACACCTAAGGCCCCACAAAGGCACATTTTTGGGTTCGTTCTATCTCTCAGATTCGGGTAATCAGAAGTATAATAGTTTTAAGGCTCCTGCAATCAATCGAACGAATATTATATGTTTGAGCACTGGTTTAGTTATTGATGGGAAGCCTCAAGGCCTACACCTAAGGCCCCACAAAGGCACCTGTTATAACTAACACGATTTCTCGGGCATATATATATACAACTAAAACGCGACATCCATTTTACATCTGCCATGCTAAAGATGGCAGTGGCACGCCTGAGTACTTAGAAGTTAATCTTGATTGTGAGCCTCAAGGCCTACACCTAAGGCCCCACAAAGGCACCTATCAAAGTTAACGATGTCCTTCTCTTCCAGCCTTGCCCGACAAGCCGTACTTGACGAGTCTTGCTCGATAAGCCTTGCCCGACGAGCCTTGCTCGACAAAGCCCGACAGCAGCCCTCAACCGGCGCCAACCTCCCGGGGAGCTGTGCGCTCGTCGGCCAGGAAACGTCCCCGACGGAAATTTCTGACGCGAACATAGTTTTGGCACGCCCGGTGGGATACATTTGATCAGAAGATATATGCCAAAATGCCAAAAGATTTGCAAACCACGTTGCTACAGATGTTGCAAAGATTGGAGAAAGCCTCCACAGGCTCCAGAAAAGAAACAGACTTGGTTCCTCCCAAGGGAAAGAGACTTAAAACCAGCCAGCCAGAAGAGTTGGTGGTGGACAAACCTGCAGTTCCCTTCTCAGAGGCCTCTATAAATATGATCAGTATGGCATGGGTTGAGAAGGGAAAAGAAAAAATCACAAGGGAAGTGGAGGAAGGAAGACTGGCTAAAAAACCTACAGGAAGGGTAATCAAATCGCCCGAATATCCAAAAGCAGCCATAATCAAGGGGATGGTTATGTGTAGTAAGTGCCAATGCGAGTGTGAGCTCGAAATTCCCCCAGCTGGAATCCTCATTGATCATGAACTGATCAGGAGGAAAAAAGAAGATGAAATGAGAGAAGCCCACGAAAAGATCAAGCAGGCTACAAGAAAAGACACTTCCCGAAGCGTTTTTCAACGATTAGGAGGTGATTCCCAACCCAAAGCTTTATCAAAAGTATTTCGAAACCATGAAGCTTCTGAAGAGGCAGAAGATATGGAGGCCAAAACACGGAGGGATGCAGATCATCCTCAATATGGCCATATGGGGAAGGAAATCAAGAGGATTGATTGGATAACAAATCCAGTCAAAAAAGGAAATCCTACCCACCTCGGGCAAAAATGGTACATAGTCGGAAAGAATGGACAGCCTACCAAACAAATGGGAGCCTCCATGGTCAGAAAAGTTCAAAGGCAGCACAAAGCCTACATGAATTCCCTGAAGACCCCCGCAACATCTGAACCCTCCCAAGATAAAAAATTGGAGAAGACATCATCTGGGGGAAGTAGTCAGCTTCGCTGGAGAAGTAAGAAAGAGGTGGAAAAGGCCAGTAGCAAGACAGAAGGCGAGGGGAATCACGTGCCGCAGAACCAACACCCTGGGAAGTATAGGATCTTGAGATGGGCTCAAGAAGATCTAATCATGGTACCAACTCCCAAATGGAAGCCGGATGAAACTGTTTCGTCTGAAAGGAGACCGCCTTCTCTGCCATTGGTAGATCATTTTGGTGAAGTTCCAAAGCAAACGCTGTATGTCGGCATAGATCAACAAGAAAGAACACTGGAACCACTACTTCCAGCAGATGCGATGGCTTGGTTGAATGAATTCATGGACCAGATTAGGGGCAAGAAAGAAGATCTGCCCGAGCCTAGTAATTTTCATATCAACATGGCGTATGTATTATCCGCCATGTTTGGTCCCAGACCTGATCAGCCCGCTACTATGGAGGGTGATTACTTGACAACTAAGCCAATGATGGCACATGTCAATGTGGAGGTAGTCGAAGAAGGAGAGTCGGGCAAGGCTGAATCCACTGAAGTGTCCAAAGATGGTCCTTTCAGGATTTATACAGACGAAATGGTGTTTAGCCCGAACATCTCGTTGGCCAATCATCTGAAGCCCATATATGTTGCTACTCAATTGGAAGGGGTGCCCTTCAAAAGAATTTTAATTGATGGAGGGGCAGTTGTTAATGTGTTACCATCCAAGCAAATGAGGAAAATGGGAAGAGGCACGGAGGATCTTATTCCTACAGACCTCACGGTCTCTAGCTTCTCAGGCGCTATCACCAAAACTCATGGGATACTGCCTTTAGAAGTGGATTAAGGATCCAAACAGATCATGTTGGCATTCTTTGTGGTGGACTGCACCTCCACTTATGGAGCCTTACTCGGAAGAGATTAGATCCATCAAAGTCTAGCCATACCCTCCACTCTTCATCAACAAGTGGCTATTTATCATAAGGCGGGCACAGAAGGACCAGGCTTTTGGGAGATGGTAGAGGCCGAATCACGGCCATTTCTCCCCACAGCTAATGTTGCGGAAGCAAGTTTCTACAACCCCAACGTAGGAATCTTGAAGTGTTCAGGAGCTGATGAGAACGGCCGCCCTACCAAGGTGACGGCCCAAAAGCTTTTGGAACAAGGAATGCTCCTTACTAGAGAAGAGTGGGATAGACCTTGTATCCTCCCAAATCCCCTACACCATCAATGACTGAACAAAAGAAGAAAGATCAGGTAATGGCAGTCAGATCCCTGATTAAAAGACTGTTGGTATATGGGAAGAGAATAAGGCAAGAAAGGGAGCTCTTGGACAAAGAAGAGCAGGAATGGCAGGTAGGAACTTCAACCAGCCAGCATGAAAGCAAGGAGGAATCTTGTAGAGAAGAATTGGAAAGGGCCATTCAAATGGCCGAGTGCATTTATAACCTAGATGGGCCAGACGACTTGCCCGAGAGCCCGGAGCTAGTCGAATTTTTGTGTGCAGAACCAGATAAGCCATCACCAGAAGTCCAAGATCCTCTGGAAGTTATTGATCTAGGGACAGAGGATGATCCAAGACCAATACAAATTAGTGGTTTATTGGGGGTTGATGATCGGGCAAAGATTATCTGCCTTTTGCAAGAATTC